CGAACTGATCAGTGCACATAAAAGGTGTCAGTGAGCAATGAAGAAGTGTACATTGCAATATAAGCTGCATTTGCAAGCATCAAATATGATTGTTTGTCTCTAAAATAAAAGTACCCTTTATACAACGAAAACATACTATTACGAAAGTTCTATTTTTGCTCTTTATAATCGAATGTCAGCATCCCTATTTCAAAAAGCGATCAGTCAGTTAAGATTGACTGAAGAATCAAAGGTCATCGGGACTGAGGATTGGAGATCGCCAACAAATTAGTCTTTGCAGTATTAGATTAGGAATTAATGCTGAGTGTGGGGGAAGGGGGGGGGACAAGGCGAATATTCAGACAGATTCTCCTGCATTGAATGAATGTCGTACTGAGAATATTATTTGTGGCACGGTTGAAATGGACATCAAAATTATGTAAATTGATTTTGTTTCTTTTAGGTAGAGAACGATGCCATCTACAACATAACGCTACGTCGTTCGAAGGAGGCGCAGTGCTACTTCGAGACGTTATCGTTGCCCTCGTAACGAATAAATGGTTTCTTTCGTTGTTTAGTGTTTCCTTGGAATAAATAAACTTTTTCTGTTTTGTTTGAAATAATTTCAGGTTCATTTACACCCTAAGCGCTTGCATAATATTCAAACGTGGAGCTAATATTTTCACTGCTGAGAGGTGTTAAGTTTTTCTTATAGCATTGCTAGTTCCTCAGTCATAAAATTTCCATGAATGCAAATTAATCATGTCAAGGAGATCGGTCTGTTTCATTAAAACTATGTGCAACACGGTGATAGAAGTGAGGCTGGAAATGAATGCTAGGAAATCAAAGATAATGAGATGGCGCATCATGACCGCGAATTACTTGGGATGGTATTACGATTAAAGAGCTCCTTGGAACAGTGATGTCTAGCAACGGAAGCATGGATCCTGAAGTGAACCGTCGCACCGGACTCACGACCGCGAATTTTGGTAGGTGGTATGTAATATGCAAAAATCAGTCTATAAGAACTGGTACGAAGATCACCTCTATGTAACCAGCGTTATTCATGGTGCTAATGTACATTTTTTAAACATACATAGTCCTTAAACGTCGCGAAGCTCGTCTGGACAGCATTGTTTACGAAACGACCTTAAAGCGCGATGGGCCCATCGAGTTACAAGGTGTTGAGGACAAACAGTTTGAGAATCTTTAAGAACTAAGAGACCAGTGTCTTGGTTGGTTCAGTGAAACAAACGAAAAACAGGGAGGAATCATTTATGAAATCTTTTTCACATGGAGTCTTTCACTGGCCCCAGATGTGTACGAGGATAATATATATGCTGGAAGCAGATTATTGAGGCAGACTTGAGACGAGGAATACAACCTTTGCTGCAGCAGTGAGCATTGCCTAATATCAGTTTGTAATGTCATTTCTAACCGTCGGGCATCACAACTTTACGCTACTTTGCTGTATGAGGTCTGCTAAACGAAGGTGAGGATAACAAAACAATGACATCCTTCCGTAAAGCGTGGAGCTCCAAATCTCGTGGCACGCATAAAGTAGAACCAGTACAAGGCACTTCAACTACAATCCCGGTGATAAAGGTCAGAAGCATCACTCGCTTATTCTTAAAGAGTATGAATAAAATGTTCCTTTCAGCTACAAAACATGAACTCATGCTTAAACTGAAATAGAGTGTTTCCATGTTTTGGATAGTAACTCAGTTTCGATGATTGTTTGTCCTTTCGGGCCGTGTGACAGACACGTCAAATAGTGCTTCGAATGTTTCCAATCTTGAGGCAGCGCTTGAGCCTCGGCAGAAGATGTTTTACAAAATGTGTTCAATTAAAATATTGCTTAAATATGCAGAAGGCAAGTGAGCTGTTTATATCATGCCTTTCTTCTCCGTAAAGTTCAATAATGGCCTTATTATTCGTAAAAACTTTTGATGAAAATCTTCAAAGGAAATTTTTTCTTATTGGAACCTTGCATTAAGCAGAGTTATTCTACATGATGTGATTTAAAAAAATAACAAAGAGTAAGGTTTGCTTGTACATGACGCCAAAAATTTATTTTGGGATCAGTCTGGCATTTCAGTCCGTGTCTCAGGGACCTTCTTTAAGATAGGCTGGTGGTGAAGTTTCGTCAGTGTGGTTGATCGGCCTCAGGAGCCGAAGGGCAAGCGTTCGGTCCGTGCTGGCAGTTAAATAATTTTTGGGCTACAGGGGCAACGACGCTCATCCTATCCGCGCAAAATTCATATCCTTTTTCACGGATGACGTTTTCGCAGGATTGGATGATTAGCGCCTCCTTTATCCGTGTGTATAGCCAGTTTTTCTCTTTGATGATACCGCTAGGCTCATACCACCTGCGTCCTTGCTAGGTTGCATGCTGCACAATTGAAGAGACCCTCTCGCATTGTTTCTTGACTTTGCAGATGAGAGGCTTTATTTTCTTCCTAGGTGCTTCGTTACCAATTGTCGCTCACGCTCTTCCGCAGTCATCCATCTTCTACAATTTGACGCCGGGACTTTGCGTGACTGTATTCCCTGCCTCTTTTATGTAATATTTCCCGCAGTTACATTGCAATTTGTAAACCCAGTCTACAGAGTTGTTGTTCACAGAATTATTCAATAACGTATTAAGCTTACTAGAGCTTTTATATATAACATTAATATTATAATTAGTGTTAAGTAGTCCTTGTAGCTTTTCAATAAAGTTTTACGATGCGGTAGAATTAAGTAAAGTTTATTATTAACCTTATTAGTTCTGCAACTAGATTTGCAATGGCTTCTTCTGCGGTTTATAATGTCTTGCACGAATTTA